TCATGTTCCAATAACATGAGCTCCTCATTCCCAGTCACGAGAAATCCGTATCTCACAGGCTCTTGGCGAATCCTGCCTGATCTCCGAGGTTCACTCGTCGAAGGTTGAGTCACAACCGGTAGTGAAACAGGTTGAATTTCTTCAACTTGTTCACTCGGCTCAACGTCTACTTGCTGCTCTCGAACTTCCTCAAGTTCGATCCTACTCCCACTGACTCTTTTGGAGACGAACTCTCGCTCCATAAAAGTCGCATTTCTAGCAATGAACACCTTGTTCTATGCCGGAATGTAGAAGTAGTAACCCTTAGTTTTCTTAGGGTAGCCTACAAATAAACACTTATCAGATTTGGAGGATAACTTATCAGTCATCTGACACTTCACATGAGCGTCACAACCCCAAATTCTGACAAACGACAACGTGGGACGCTTCCCCGTCCATATTGTTGGTTTAGTGCTCTATGATGTATTGTTTATGAGCTTTGTTCAGATACATTCGATGTATTGATACTTTCTATGGTTTATATGAGAGTATTTGATTCATTACATGTTCTTGCATACTAGATCTGTTATGAAATCCGTGTATCATTATGAATGATACCAAACTCCCTAGTCTTGTGTCGTTATGAGAATAACGACATAATAAGACTAGTATGATGTGTGATTGATGATCATAGCGTTGATCATAGGTATTGGATACAATCACAGTCATAGGTATTCGTTGGAGAATGGAATACTGGAATGACCCGCATGAGATTGTCACATGGACTAGCGTCATTACGTGAATCTCATATGGCGGTTCCATGATTGGATCCTAAAACCTGAGATATCTACGGAATCCAACATGAGGAGTTGCGTGCCTTGAGTACGTCAAACGTCCTGCGTAACAGGAGGACTATAAAGGCGTGTATCATGTACGAAACGAATCATGTACTGGATTGTAGATAGTCAAGACGGGATTTGTACCTCTCGTAAAAGAGAGAGATATCGCTGGGCCCCTCGTGTGAGCGAGACTGTAGAAATGTGTGGCCGCACTATAGACGAACGTCGTCTATTTCAGACAGTCGAACTCAGTGAACGAGAAAGCAGTCGAATCAGATAAGGTGGCTTGTCCATGCCTTATGTTCGACGTATGATATCGCGATACAAAAGGATCATCAGCCGGAATCATCACTGGAGTTCGTATGATCACGAACAAACTCTATTCGAGATAGGTAGTCATAGTGTCTTGCTAGAGACCGCCTATGACTTGTATATCCGGAATAGAGATTTCGGGCTATACTGCTATATCGAATGAGCCTACAGGGTCACACACGCAGGGAAGGACAAAACGCACGAGAAAACGACGGGAGAACCAAGACGGAAGGGTCTGGAACGGACGGACCAGAAGTCCGGAACGGACTGTCCTCCGTGCCAGACCCGACGGTCCACAACTACTCATAGACCGTTCGTTCTAAGGGTTGGAACGGACGGTCTGTGTTGAAAGCAGACCCTGGCTTGTTGGAACGGACGGTCCGCGTGTATTTCTGGACCGTCCGTTCCGGGCTTCAATTTTTCCGAAATTAAAGCGAATTAGGGTTAAATCACCTTATAAGAAGGAGATTAAAAACCCTAATGATCTAAGAGACTTGAAGGCCGACTTTTGGCAGAATTCTAAGAGTCTTTGTGGAGATC